AGGGAAAGGTGAGTTCAGATTGCTCGATGTGAGAATGGAGAAATAAGAATTTGAAGAGAAGAGATTGAATGAGTAAGACAAGTCAGACAAACTGTGAGGAAACAAGACGAGACGATGCCTAAGATCCATTCAACAGATGAACATATACAATATTGACGACACAATGTGAAAACAAAAAACAGTGATAAATGTCTTAAATGCAGCGCAAACTTTCACGTAATATTCCGACCAAAGAGTCTGCAGTGGAGCAGACGTGAGCAGCATGTACACGCATGTGCACAGAGTGCTCAGACAGGAAAGTGTTGACTTCTGTATTGTAGACAGTGAAACCAAGTCCCTCTCTGGATAAAGACAAAGCTTCAAAGATAAATCTGCTCACTCTTAGACTAACACTGTCCTGATTCCTACAGCATTGTTCAAATGATCACACCCCCACATTCACTCAGAGAGACAGAGGATGAAAGAGAAGACGTGTGACGAGGATATAAGCACGCAGGGGCAATTGGATTGTGAACGTCACTTTGTTGCACGGGAAATAAACATCTCATAAACACAGTTATTATTTGAGCTGTTCCGTACAGGGAGACCTCTACACCGGAGGCCTCATGAAACCTTCCATCAACAACAGTAACAATAACGTGTCGTAAATACTGTACATGAGCAGCCACCTGAGGATTACACTGTGTTTCTTTATGGCTTTAAAGCTGTTCTTTTTAGCTAGCAGCATGGTTTTGTGATGTCAGCCAGTTAGTCGCCAGTCCACCAAATTGGTCTGCAATGAAATAGCTCAGCAACTATTTGATGGATTTCTCTGAAAGTGACTTGTACTTTCTCGCCGCCATGAGGTCGACAACCATTGGATGGATTTTCATGAAATTTGGTACACACATTGTTGTCCACCTCAGGACAAAATGTAATAACTTTGATGATCCCTTCACTTTACCATTATTAGGTCAAACTTTACCACTAGATGGGTGGATAAATAATAAGTCATAGAAATAAAACTATTTTACATGGTGCAGTGCTGAAGATGAATGGAGTCTCACAGCCAGGGGTAAAAAGCTGTACGAGGGCTCTGTCGCAGACATTTTGAGCCCTTTATGCACCCTTTTCTGCAGACTTTGCCTGAGGGAGTTCATAGCGTTGTGACGAGAAACGCGGGGGGGTTTCAGCGGAAGCCCGGAAGCGAAAGAAAGATCACGACAAACCCGCCTTGTATGAAAAGAAAGAAGGAGAACGGTAAACAATTAAGCATGGATGGAGCAGCCAACCCTGACGTTAACATAGTTAGAAAAAAGGTTTACATGGATTTAAGATGGTACATACACATTATTACACACCTAGTTTATGCCACTTTTTATTTTAGTTTTTGATTAATGATTCTGTTTTGACCAACAATAATACATTCGTTACTGACAAATATAGATAATTATTGACAATCTCTCTTTTTTTGACAAACAGACTCTCATCCACTTTGCATGGCAAGAGCCTGCCGGACGTATAAATCAGGACAACATTTTACCCATCATGCTCTGGGCAACAGTTAAAGAAGGGGACAGAGATGTTGCTTGTTGCAGTGTGTGACAGTTTTAACTGTGACAGTGATGCTGCAGAGGAACTCTCTGCTCTGCCAGGTGCTGGTGTCGAGTTTAATGATGAATCATGGAGGTTAAAGCTCATTGGGAATAATCTAATAACACGGCTAAGACAAAAACAAAGATGACGCATTCACCTCTGTTTCACTTCCTCGAGCACTCCATCCATCTTCATTTGGATGGAGCCTGAAGCATCCTGGCAGGACAAGGGACGACAGAGATTTTAACGCACTCTTGACATCCTTTCTTCTCATGTGGTAAGACTGAAATTCACTCCCCATTCAGTTCAATAATGAACCTATTGAGAATTATTCACCTCCAGCTGTGAAATGATCTAGCCTCGTTCAATTCATGCATGATTTCAATCTAATTTAACTTTATCCTGCCTCATCATGAGGTTCTCCCAGCAATGTCCAGTCATGGAAATAATGCTCTGTAACTGCCAATGAAATAATACAAGCAGCAGCAAAGGAGGGATGGTGATAGGTTGTGATGATTTGGCAGTTTCTGCTTCCCACTGTGTCCATTCAGTTTTTGGGAACAAGGCTTGCTCTTGGTCAATATTGCTGCGAGACAAAAAGCCAATCAATCAAACACACACTCCTCAAAGGATAGATCATGTCAAGCCAATCAAAGTCTCTGCTGGTGAATCTCTGACTGCATCACCCAAAGGGAGGGCAGAGTGAGAGAGAGGAGTATGCGCGTGTCCACAGAGACTGCCAGTGTAATGGCTCACGCACCAGGACAACTGTCACAGATGGCAGACAGAGAGAGAAAGAGAGAGGTGGACTTTATTTCAGCAGAGTGATCACGGGAATTAAACGGTCAGGTCATTTAAAGGCTGCAGCATTACAGAATTGCCAGTGACATTATGCATGAATGAAGAGATCAAAGATGTCACCTGCTCTCATGCTGCATTCTGTCAACAGGTCGACAGCCACTGCCACCAACAACCAGCAGGCATGCGTGCTAAATAAATATCTGACAAGGCCCCCTGCATCAGCCTATCAAAGTGTACTGAACTGTACTCTATTGTACTGAATTTTAAATTCCTATATTGATCTGCAGTTCAGCATAGTTGCAACATCTACAATGCCCCAAATGCAACAAATACAGCGAGTACTGCATATAAATGAACCATTGAGATTATTAATGCAAGAATGATCTAATTTTTTTAGATTATTTTGAACAGTATGACTGCTGTTAGCTAGGTTGTATTGTTTTTCTGCCAGCATGCCTGTCATCAAGAGCTGTCTCACCCTAATTTTAATTTTTCATTGACAGTTTAGACTTTGTGCTTTGAGGATTTTGCTCTGATTTAAGGTCTGAGGGCATTATTCTTAATGAGTTTTTACTTTTATTCCAACCAGGCACTATACCAACTGATTAATTCTCCTTCAGGAAGAGGAACTCATCTATTATTAACCTGCAGACTGTTGACACCTGAACACACCTGCAAAAGTGAGCAGGACCTGCTTCTGTAAAAATGTTTTGCTGTTCAGTAGATTTTCTGATTCAGTTTTTCTGTAGGTTTCATGAATGAGGAGGAGTGTGTGTGTGTGTGTGTGTGTGTGTGTGTGTGTGTAATGTAGCAGCCACACAGATAAACGCTCGGTCTGAGTAAAATATTCAGCAGAGGATTTTACAGCTGAGCTAAAGAAATATAAACCACATACATACACACAGAGTGAGAACTGCTCAGCTGATCCAGCAGCTACAGTGTTTGTGTGTGTGTGTGTGTGTGTGTGTGTGTGTGTGTGTGTGTCCTCTCCTACCACCAATTAGCTTAATTAAAGTGTTTGGACATAATTTATTGACAGCAGGATATTCAGAGAGAGAGAGAGAGTTAGCCCAGTAGTAAATCTCAGAACACACAATATCTCAGAGCAGTTTGTTCCGTAACCAAAATCATAAAGCAAAACAACAAACATTCAGTGAATCTCGATGCTTTGGGATATTTAAAGTGAACTAAAACAACTATCCTTTGAGAGGAATAGGGCAGAATTTTACACGGACAAAAATAGCAGTCAACTCCAATAAAACCAGTTAATCAAACTAAAACCTGGTAAAATTAATAGTCAAGGTTCATTCTATAATATGTAAAGATAATCCCATAACTTCGTGTACAGCATACAACACTTATTTGCACTAATAATGTACAGTGAGCAAAATTTACTTTTCTTTTAGTCGGTTATTTTATACTATTTGTCTTTTTATAGTAGCCTATTTTGTTTCTTTTTGTGTTTTATGTTCTTTGGCTGGAAGGTAACACTGAAATGTCCCCTTTGGGGTTAATAAAGTAGGCCTACTCTATCTGACAGAAATCAGCAGCTTAATCCGAATCAGTCTCTGCAGTTGTTTTAAAAGAAGCTGAAGGTGAAACAGCAGCGGAACCCAGAAAGATTTATTACTTTTTGCAGCCTAATACACAATGAAAGCGTGTGTAAAATGGTAAAACCCTGTTAAATACAATGAAATCTAATCTAACTTGGTAAGAGCCAGTGAGAGCCACCAAACCTTAACAAAAATCCTAAAAGAGCTAATTAAGCTGAGTAAATTCCATTTAAACCCAGTCAAATCTGGTAAAAAAAAAAAAAAGAAAAAAAAGAAAGAAAAAGGTCAAACCCAACAGCCTAAACCTGATCTGTCCCTTTATATGTTTTAATCACAGCAGAAACTTAGGGTAAAATAGCAGCAAAAAAAGATTCACTTAAACCTGCTCAAAGCAGCAGTCTGATATTGACAGAGCTCAGAGAAATCAGGCGAAACCTGGCACAGCCTCACGAAACACACAAAGGCCTGATCAAACCCACTAACAGGCAAATTCACTCTAACCTGCTCAAAGCACCAGACGCCAAGTAAAACCAGCATGACTGGCGGGAACCAGGTGAAACCCAGTAGAACCCCATGAAACACACCAAAACCAAATCAAACCTGGTAAAGCCTGGTAAAACCCAGTCAGACCAGCAGCCTGAACCTCATCAGTCCCAGGGAATTTGTTTTGATGGATACTGAAGGTTAAAAAAAAAGGAGCAAATACAGCAACATTCAGTAAAGCCTGCTCAAAGCAGCAGCCTAACACATGATCAGAGCCGCTGAAACCTGCTGATGCCCAGTGAAATCCATTTAAACCCGGTCAAACCCAGTAGAAGCCGGTCAAACCCTGCAGCCCACAACCTGATCACAGGAGCCCAGTAACCCAGTTCAAGTCGGTCAGACTGTGCTCCCGGGTTAGAGTCAAGGTTTAAACAGCAGCCAACAAGGAGACGCAACAAATGTGTCAATTATCCTTTGGTCTGCGGCAACCAGATCAACCACACGCACACACACAGAGGCAGAACCCGCGCACACACACTGCGGGATGGAGGCAGAAACAACGCATATCTGTGTCTGTTTTCCACTCACCGTGCGCTGTGGTGTGCGCAGCCAGCAGCCAGCAGAGCAGCAGCAGGTAGAGCCCTCCTGTCCTCCTCCTCCTCAGCACCAGCACCTCCCAAACGTCACCAATACATCCAACCAGAACCAGCTCCATGCTGCCCTGCTCGTGTCCCGATGAGCCAGAGGAACCACAGGAACAAGCGCCCGCAAATCCTGCTGATGATTGATTTTTTTTTTTTTTTTAAATCCTCCACAGAATCCAACTGTCAATTAAAAATCAAAATAAGAAAAAAAAAACAACTCAGGATGGTGAGTCAAGGGGGATGAAGAGGAGGAGGAGGAGGAGAGAGAGGGGTAAAACAACCTCTCCTCTCCCCAAAATAACCCTCCCCGATCGGGCTTGGATCCCAAAAAGAAAACAAAAATCCAAAACAGACACAAGCGCAGTTAGTTCCCTTCTTTTTAAGATAAGAAACAAGTTCCAGTAACTATGAAGGCAGAGTCTCCATCACTCCTGCCCGGTGCAGCTGATTCCCATTCACACAGATGCAAGGAGGATTAAAATCCACGCTGCCTTGCCGGAGGTCTGATCCGTCTGCCGGGGAGGACGGATGGAGAGGGTCGGAAGAGGAGGAGGAGTGTGGAGGGAGAGAGTCGAACTCACTCTCGCTCTCTTTTCTCTGTAGGGCTATACAGCTGGAGAGAGAGAGAGAGAGAGAGAGAGTGTGTGTAGGTAGAGGGGCATAGGCAAACTATGGAGCAATTGATCTAAAGAGGCTGGAGGTAAAGCCCGGAGCTGGAGTGCAGGGGAGCGGGGTGGAGAAGAAGCTGGAGCCCAGCAAAGGAGTCAGAGCAGCGGGGAGAGATTAGCTGAACTCTCCTGCCCTCTCTGGTCACACCGGGGACTCTTCAGATACAGGTTGGAGACAACGTTCATCAATTAATCAGTATGCTCCCTGTTAAGGAAACGCAGATGGTTAATATTATTTTAAAATGTGATGTAGTTTCAGTTTATTTGTTGTATAATTTGATTTGTATGGAAGCCCATTGCTGCAGAAAAGAAAAAAGATAAAATGTTAGTAATAAAAAAAAAATCATGGTAACTTATTGTTTTTATACAAAGTGTCAACATTTTGATATAATTTTATAGTTAGTAAATAGGACTACTGTCAAACATCATTCTCTTTTTTTTTTCTGGCAGAAGAAAACAAGTTGAATTCCTGAGATTCAACATTTCAGATGAGGGTCCACAAATGGCTATTAAACTTTTTGGATTGATTTGGATTGATTTTCCTGGGCACCTGAGTGTGCATTAAACAACACCTTTTCCTTTCCGATTCAAAGTATCATTTGTAACTGACCAAAGTTCCACGGTGTTGTGTGGAAACAGGTCTGAAGGGCTGAACCCAGGAGTACAACTTGAGAGGCCAACAGGATAAAGTATAAGATAAACGATATAAGATAAAATTAAAGTTCACGTTTTCTTAGGAGTAAGGGGCAGGCAGGCAACCAGGCAGTCAGAGAAGAAAAGGGAAACATAGACAAAGGGTTAGACAGATAAGCAGAGGTCCAACAAATATGGGGGCTGAACAGGCAGAATGAAGGAATTAATTTTAGTTCAGTTTTATTTGTAGCGCTGTTTCATAACAGAAGTCAACTCATTGCACTTTCATATAGAGCAGCTGTAGACCATTATATTATTTACAGAGACACAGCATCAACAAAACCATCATTTTGGCAGACAATTTGACATTTTGGGCTTCTCCAAAAGGGACAGTGTCTGCCTCATCACACAAATCTTTGGGAAAAATGATCAGGAGGACACAGGATGTTCAAAACAGCGGGTTTCACATTCTTGGTTCCTGGCTGGTAGGAGAGTGAGTCACATGGTGTGAACCTCCACCACAAACTGACACGAGGGATCAAAAGTTGAGGATGGGAGCCTAGTAGCCTTTGTTGGTCAGGTTGGTAGTTACCAGGTAGTTGGTGCCTAACCAAAACCATGATCTTTTTCTAAACTTAAGGGAAAGGTTTGTCAGGCTTTCTGAAAGCATTGATATTTGACGCCCTGAGATCAGAACGTGTTGGGTATATTGCAGGTAAATAAAGCAACAGCACTGATACTTCCGGCTCCATTTGCAGTTCATTGACTAAACTGACTGTAGTTTGGAAACTTTCATACAAACATACACACATACACACCCATACACACATCCACAGACAGAAATTTTACACAAAGACTAACAAACCTCAGGTGGAAATGCAACAGATCATCAGTGTGTGTTTCTGCTCTTAATGTGAGTCTGATGAGCTGATAAGAAACCTCACATACACATACAATTACCTAATTACTGATTATCAGACTGTGAACCCACAGCAGACTAAACACTGCAGCTCTGTGTGTGTGTGTGTAAGTGCATATATCTGTCTGTGTGTGTGTGAGACCCTCTCTAACAAAGCCTTTATTCCACATTGAAAACCCTCCAATAGGAGCCAATTAGATCACAATACAGCTGATAGCATGTATTTATCAGGCTGCTGCCTCACTCCCCCACACGACCACGGTGGAGGTCTGCATCCATAGTGAGAAGGTGACTGTGTTTGCCCTGACATATTAAGGGAAAGATTTCCCTCATCCAGGTGAGACGCCATCTGGAGGAAGACAAATCTGATTCTCTACACTGTTCATATGAACGGCTTCTTCAGTTCAAAACATCCCTGTGGGTGACACCCAACAGTATAGAAGGTCCACCCAGCGTTACCTGTCTCAAATTTTTTGCAAACGCACAAAACACTGAGATTATTTTCATATGATGGAATAGAATCTTTCCTATCTTCTTCATTTCTAATTAGATTTTCCTTTCACAGTTTTACCTTCTCTCTGTGTTTTCATCACAAAGATCAGCAGCTCAGTGTCTAGCAACACAGCAGGGGAAGACAATGAAACCCCAGAACGTGTGTGTGTGTTAATCTACGAGCGGATATTAATGTCAGACGGGAAATTAAAAGCCAGGTTTGTGTAGACTGTGTGTGTCCGTCTGTGTGCGAGCAGAGTGTGTAGTGCAAGTATCTGTGGTGGCAGCCTGACAGATATGAACACACGCACACACACACACACACACACACACATACAAACACATGCTTCTTAGATTTGTAGTCAGTTATGCAGCACAGTGACATTGGACTGGACAAGAAAAGATAAACACCAGAGATGCCCACAGGTCCACAGACTTGTCCAGAAAACACCTGTCCATTAGAAAACACACCAACAGTTGGTCCAGTTCTCTTCTCTTCTGTTTGACCCCACCAGGTTCTCACTCTACTTTTAGTTTCTGTGAGGGGGTCAAAACGTTGTCACAGGACTTTGATTTTAACATTTAACTTTAACATTTAACAGCTTATTACAAAACATAGTAGAAACTACGCTAAAGTTAATGATCTCACTAACGTGTTGCTATTACACATTAAACTTTGTGAGTCGGTTATTCACTGTGTTAGAGGGAGTTTACTTTGGATTGCTTTTTCAACAAGGGCCTGTACAAAGCAAAAGCTCAAGGATGGATTGATACCAACCGGATTTAGTTTGTAGCACATGTCTGTTGAACTTGGTGCAGAACGTTCCACATCTAATGTGGCTACAGTGTCTATTGTACACACACTGGAACATTGTTGGAGTATTTATTAAGGGACAGCCAAGAGAAATTGTGTGAAGCCTCATTTGAAGCCAATTACAAGAGCAATAGGTTGGATGTGGGAACACCACACACACACACACACACACACACACAAACACACGCACTTGAACCTCACAGATTTTGAAGTGCTTCTTCTTGCAATCAGGGCTCATGTTGATGCTCAGTAATTACCTCCAAACATAGGTCTCTCATTTTCTATTTCTACGTGCGTGTGATACAGAATATGTGACGTGTGGGCATGGAGGCGATACATCCCCCCATAAGTGAAGATGTAATTTTATTTCTACTCAGGGCTGGTTGTTTTGTTGTTTTGGTGAGGGCTCTCCCAGATGCTTGTTACATTGTCGTTCAGAACTCTTCAAAGTGAAAGCTCTCAATAAACTTATAAAGTTTATATTTTGAAGGCACAATCACTTAAGAGGCAGCGATTGTGTGAATAACTGTAGCTGTCATGTCTGAGATCTATTTCAGCACCAGCAGTGATCAATTTATCTATTCCTCCTATTGCCGACCACTGGTTTAGACAGTGCAGACAGTGCAGCTGCACTGGAGCCCGCACTGTGCTGGGTGCCCTTGACAGGAGCAGCCCCGCCGAGTTTTGGTATTCGTGTCACATAGTCCATGTATGCAGTGATGATTGATGGGTAATGTAAATGAATGCCCAATCTTAAATTTCTATTTGATCATGTGACAAGACGTCAAGATTCCAGAAATCGGGTGAAACACAAAATCTGACCAGTAGATTAGCAGTGCGCACGTGCAAGCTAGCAGTCATGCTATTCATACATAAAAGTTGTTTCAAGAAGAGACAGGAGAGAAAAGAACAAGAGGAGAGGGTCGCAAGCTTATTCATTTCAGCACAGTTGACACCTCCCCTGCACTCAGCTGTTTGTAGTGACGGTTCAGGTTTTTCACAATGACAGCAATGGCCATGCTCCTTGTAACTTTCTCTTTGACTTCTGTACTTTGCAAATACAAAAGTCTAGGTGACACAGTCCGACTGTAAAAACCATCACATGATGGTACTTTAGAGTGCTGCGTCGAGGCGCACGCAGCACAGCCACAGCAGCAGCAACGTGTCTGTGTGTTGGAGAGAGACGCACACACAGAGAACTGTTGAATTTAATATGTTAATATGGAAAGATATCAATTTAAGGAGCTTTTAATTAGGTATTTAATGCATCTAATTTTATCAAAAACGAAGAAACAAGGCACACAAATTTGTCAATAAAGGATTCTCTTCTAGGCACGAACACAGTGTGTACGTGTGTGCTTCGTAACTGTGTAGCCCAAGGGCCCATCACAGCTGTCTGCACTGGGGCCCGTTGTTACTACCTTACGCCACTCGGACCTAACATGAGGATATGTAGTTGTTTAAAAGCAGCTTTCCTAGAGCTGCGCTAAGTAATGAAAGTAAATTAATGAGAGTAATGTAACTGATTATTTTGCATTTGAGTAATTAGTAAAGTAATGTAATGATTTTATAGTTAAGTGTAGCTGGGCTTTCAGAACATCTAGCCAGATTATTTAAGCCATAAGAAGTCAGCACATACCATAACCCCTTAAGATCTCTGTGGGGGGTTTGAGCGTTAAACACTTACTTTTCTGCATTCTGGTGAAATGTTCTGCCAGTTTCTGCCTGCCTGCATCAATTTATGTTGAAAATATTATTTTTGTAAACGGAAAACAAAATTCAGGCGGCAGGTGACAATTATAAAAATTCAACAAATGCTGCTGAGTCAACACACACTTTTATTGTCATATGTACAGGAAACAGTTGTCACACAGTACAATGACATGCTTATCCTGCAAATCCTCCCAGCAACATCAGACATTAATTAAACACCCTAAGACATAAATAACAAGTGGCATAAATACAAAAGACACATAAATAACAATGTGCAAAAAGTACGTTGTTGTGCATGTATATGTCATGTAAACATGAGGAGACAGTGCAAGGTCTACAGAGGTAACTGTCACTAGTTGTTCGTGTCCATGTGCAGGTTTTGCTTTTGTGTGTCTGAGCAAGGTGGAGTGGATCATTGCACCTCTTTGGATCAGGGGGCAGTCTACAGTGTTAGTAGTAGTATCATCAGCAAATGTGATGCAGGTGTTGTTCTGGGAGGCCAGAGTCATGGGTGTAAAGTGTGTAGAGCATGGGACTCGCCACCCAGTCCTGCAGAGTTCCTGTGTTTTTAGGTTTTGTCGTGGATGTGTGATTCCCCATTCTGACAGACTGGGGTCTGCCTGTTAAAAGGACC